AATATCAATGATGCAAATAATGGTAAGTTAGATTGGTTTTATTAGTTTTATTTGATTTTTATTTTACTTGCATGAGGCGGATAAAAGGATTCACTAACTAGGACATCATCTTTTTATATAATTTACAGGATCGATTTTGGAATACACTTTTTGGGGAATTACGTTAATATGATTGCGTAATTACACATTGCTTTCATTACTATTCACAAATCTACCAACAACCCATAAATGGAATTTTATTTTATTATGTAGAATGGATGATGTTATAGTACCCCTGGTCCCCTATTACATTTCATAAGATCGAGATCTGTAAATCAGTAGATCAAGACGCTCAATTCCCATTCTTATCTGGTCCCTTTAGGACCCTCCCATTCTAACATCAGGGACTTCAGATTGACTTGCGTAATGCGGTCCCAAAGGGACCTGCTAATTCAAAGATTCGTAATGTATATTGTGCCAGAACTTTCCGGAAAAAGGCGAATATCACTACCGAATTAATTTTTTTTATTGATCTAGTCCCACAATCTAATCCCCCATAGATTTGCAAAAAATATGACGGTATTTCATGAGATCTTGGCCCTGGCTTCATTATTACTGTACAAAAAATAGCATATATTAGTCATTATTACAAGAATAGCACATCTAGATCTAAAAATAAGAGCCTGGTGACGTATTGCTGCGCTCTTTTCATATACGATGAACTCGAGTTTGATAATGTGAAATTTTAATAAATCAAACTCTGATGAGCTAGCCTTGCTAATTGACATGGTTGATATTATTTTTTCACAATGGGAATTATTCAATGTTGTGAATGTAAACTCACTTTATTAATACATGTGAAAAATAAATACATAGTTCAGGACATACAGTAGTTCAGGACATAGTCCGTGATACATGATGTCTATGCTAATATACACGATTATTATTATAATTCTCAATTTTTCCCTAACCAATGCCCTATCCTTTAAACAAACCTATGACAAAATAAATCGGGACTTGCCCGTGATACATGTGATATTTCTCATATTAATGATAGTTGTGTCCTAAACCTTCACTTAAGCTGATCTTTCTTCTTTTATAAGATCAAATATCCCTCCATTTTTTTGGGCATGATTTATAATCACGTGAATAGGAATAACTGATGCTAATAAACGGTCCTCAGTTATTCCATTAATAATTCCCCAACTTCCCATGATTATCAAAGACTGGAGAACCCGAATCCCCATAATCATCTACATGTAAATTATGTTGAGAACAAATTCAAATCAAAAAAAAAACGAAAAACTAGTTACTTACAAGTAATCTTGGCAAATAAAGCTTTTGCATTTTTGAAATCACCACCTTTAAACCTTTTTCAAACATCCCGTATTTCCCCTTCAGTAAGATATGATGCCCTACCAACCTTCAAAATCTCATGCTTAGTATCTTCGTCGCTACTTACCGAATGCTTGATATTATTAATTGGAAAGTTACAACCAAGTGGAATGTTGCTAATAGACCTGCGATCATCAATAATTTCACAAAAAGCATAGTCAAGCAAAATTTCATTTCCATTGTCTTCATAAATACCATAGTGACAATACTTGGTGACCTTAGCACAGGTTCTGATCTTATTATCAAAAAATTGTTAATGTCAAAATAATATCAAGAATTTTATTAAGCACTTACTTTATTAGCATCAGCGCTTCTTGGCTGAATTACTGCATTTTTAAATTTTTTAACTCCATGTTGTACTGTAAGTATAAAGCTTTTTTCCGATTCATCACTTTTTCTAAACAGTGCCCCTAATGTGCATGCACTTGTATCACCAATACTAATACCTGGCTTAAGAGTTTCATGATATTTGCGATGAGCAAACTCAACGCGTCCATAGTTCACATATACAGGATATGTGTCGAATTTGGTAGGTAAATCAATTGGCGTCCCTTTGGGTTGATCGACCCAAACCATTAGAGAAGTCTCTTTATCAATCATTCATGGCCTTACGCAAGATAAAGAGGGTACCTTTTCTCCGAATTTATCTTAAAAAGTGTTTGACGTATCATCAAGCCGATTAAAAAGATTAGTATCCTTAACTCTAGAAACTTTACAGTTACAAAGCATCATTGCATTATTTATAAGCAGTTTTTCTTCTGGATATTCTATCATAGTATGTCAGATAATAAATTTTTAGTTAAAATACAAATTGATATTCAAATTTGATATCCATGCAAACCTGCTTTATTTAAACGGTTAAATTCTTCAGATAAGTTCTCACCCTGTTTCAACTCCGACTTTACTGTAGAATCTTTATGATGTTTCTTGAGTTCTTGGTTCTTGAAATAATATGATTTTCACTCTCTTATAGACTGAGCCACACCCCATTACGAATAATTTCAACATTTTCACCAGAATTGTTATATTCTCTGGGTCTATCCTCATCACCAAGAATACTATACCCGATCAACCATTTTTCAAGCTCTCCTATGTGAAAAAACCCTTCCTTTCGTTGCTCTTTGTCATCAATAAGATGTACAAAGAGAGTACCAGCGTCAAAATCGACTACCTTATACTGGATAAAGATTTTTGTGTTAGAATATTTTTTATCAATTTGTAAAACATCATTTATTCTAATAATTTTCGCATAATACAGATCTTGAAATCCAGCCCGATGAATATTTGGAATTATATAGTCACTTGCGCCTTCATCTAAACATAACTTATGTTAAGATATATCTATGTCTTAGTAGAAGCATATAAAAATTGACTCCTTACATTGCTCCAGCCGTTTTAAAGCCGTTAAAAGTGATGAATCAATAATAACATTCGTAAATCCTTCTTCTGGAAGGTTCTTGTCATCCCAATAATCACTAATTTTTTCTTCAAGCTCTTTTATACCTTCTGTACTATCATTTTTTAGAGAGAATTCGTCGTCACCACGAATATGTACCATCCAAAGCTCTAAGTTACTGACCTTAATACCGGAAAATATTTTATCATTCTTCTTCTGTACTTCTTCGAAGATTTTCTTTTTAAGGGAATTGACAGTTTTGCTGGTATTGATATCAATATTAAATTTCTCAGAATTTGCTTCAATGTCTCGAAAGAGACGGCAGGTGAGCTTAATATCTACCATGATTCTGCATTTTTGTATTACCACCAAAAGAAAACATCACGGAAAGCGTGTTACATGGTTTATACGAAATCTTGTGGATGATATCTAAGCCACTCACGTGATTCAAAAAAAGAAATATACAATTTCGCATATGCGAGTAATTGATTCACCCAATAATTCTTCTAGGCGGTTACCGGAGAGATAATAGGACTCATCATTGGTGAGGTTTTTCTTTCGTACCTTCTATCACGATAATAATAGCCTCTATCACATTCACCATATTCATTATATCCACTGTATCTATTATATCCATCATCATCTGATTCATCTGGCATCTCTTCTTCAGAATCGTCATCGTGGCTACAGTCACTATCAACATCTACCTATCTTTATTTGTTACTTTCACTGACTGAGGTGTGGACGATGAATTACCTAAAGAATTAGAGCCATGTGTAAGAGAAATAGGTGTTATTAATTCGCTTACCTCAGCCGAATTTTGGCCGGGACCCCCGGCTGAAATCCTAACCATATTGGTTAGTACTTCTTCCACATCGTTATCGTTATGCTCGAAGAAATTATCTATGATATCTTGAACTTTATCATTAGTCAACTCAGAAATAGAGTTCGCACTATATGTAGTAATATACTTAATATTCTTTACGCCTACCTTTTCAAATATTTTATATATTTTTACAGCTTTCTGAGTTTTCCTTTGTAAGTTTTTACGGGAGATTTCTGGGAAACGCAATCCTGTCTCTTCAGATCGTTGCTTTCGCAACATGGATAGGTATTCCAACATTTTATCATAGACTATTCTCTTTGCCTTTTTTTCACCAATTTTACCTTTACTATCCTGTACAATTACACTAACCTGATTTAAAAATTCTTTTCCATAATAATACCAGCGCAAAATCTCTTCCTGATTAGCTCAAATTGTGCCATATTCAGCATCATTCGCTTTATCGAATAATTGAGCTAGAGAAAGCAATGGATCTGTAAATGAATTTTGGTTGAGACTCTCAATTGAAATCATATCATAAGAAATGGCTTTGTCACTCGATTGGGCGGGTCCTAAAGGGACTGCATCTTCCTTAATGCCATCAGCTATCAATTGTACGATATTTTCTGCACCTTTCTTCCTATGGCTATTTTGACTGGGGCCCCAGCTGAAATTTTAATCACGGGATTCGTTACCTCTGGTATCTTTCCAGAAGTAGAGCACCTGGTGTCAGATTCTCGATCTTGGTTAAGAGATGCTTGCTCTGCTTTGCTAAGTTTCTTTTCCTTATTGCATTGCTTTATTTCACTACTAACGATTTTCTTATGAGCCTCAAGCAAGAAACTATCCATCTCTTTCTCCTCTAACGGTTTTTCATGATGGACCGCACCCGAATTGGCCATAGGCGCTAAAGCAAAGTTAGATGAGTTATTGCTAGGGGTATTATCATTAGAAGAATTACTGCCTCTCAGCTCATTTAGCACCTGCCTCTTTTCCACTTTTGTGACACGATCTCTAAGTTTAACATTCTCAGATTTCAACTCCTCGATTATGGCCTTGAGTTTGACATTTTCAGCATCACGCATCTCATTATATTCCCCATTCGCTCTTAGAATCTCAGTACGCATGCGCTTAAGTTCAGCTATTTTAGCATCAGATATTGAGAGCTTGATTCTAAGATTGCGGATCTCAGTATTCTCCTTCCTAAGCTCTACATTCTCAGCCTCAAGTTCAGTGATGCGCTGTTTCAATGATTCAAGCTCGGATGACATGATCTATATATTATAACTAATACACTGTACATAGATATTCAAAATAAAAAATATATCACATGATTTTGGCCAGGACCCCCGGCTGAAAAATGCCAAGAAAATTTTTTATTATTACATGCAAAAATAAATACAAATATTTGGAACATAGCCCAGGATACATATTATTTTTTAATAATTTTTTTGATCCTAGCCCTCTTGCTAGTTGGGGAACTATCTACACTAACCCGATCCTTCAATAACCCTACAATTATGCCGATTACCCTTTTCACATTACTTCAAAGTAATTTGGGATTATCTTTAACTGTGGACTTCGTGAGATTGATCTGATATTCACTACCGCTCGTAGAGTATATACCATCAGGAGTGTATATGATAAAATGCCACTCTGTGCCTGTAGTCACAATACCATATATATAATCAAAATAGTCGTTCCCAAAAGCTTGATCCGCAGTCCGCTTCTTCTTATTTGTCTGGAATACACTTTCAAGCTGAGCCAGATTCTAAGAAAAATAAAATGTGTTAATATTGAATCTCTTTTGGCTTTGGCGCTCTAAAAACACAGATCTGTGTAGTAGATGTAGAGTTCCAAATGAGTTGAGTTGAGTTGAGTTTAAAGATCAACTCGACTCGACTCTCTTTTTTTGAATTGAGTCGAGTCAAATTTATTTTATAAAATCTTTCAATTTGATTTGATTCGAGTTATACAAATTTTAAACTCGA